AATTTGGTAAGCTTGAGTTTCATTTTTAGATTTCGAGCTTTAATCTTGAATATTCTCCATGTTTCTATGTTAGATCTGAGCTTTCATGATTGATTGTTTCCATTTTTGAGACTTTGAAGCATGTGTATATATATGTATATATACTTAGATTTTAGTTTCGATTTTGGGGGTTACGTGCCAAGACAAGTGACCATTCTTATGTTGTTGATGTGTGAGAGGGCCCACGAGCTTGCTCGAGAGGCCCCCGTGTCATCCACGTCACAGATTTGTGACTTTTCAAATTTCTCATAGCAGTTCGATCGATCGAATTTTTCTCTGATCGATTAGAGAAAGATCGATCTCACATAGTCCTGATCGATCTCACTTAGTCCTGATCGATCCAACTTGGATCGATCTCATATTTTCCTGATCGATCGAACATCACAGATTTGCATACTCACTTCACACACCATCTTTGTGTTCCATGCTATCTTACTTATGCCCAATACCTGTGTTTTCCACATTGGATGCACTCCATACTTATACTGCTTAGCATGTTTCCCTTAGTCACTATTTATTTGGCTGTGTCATCACTTCCATATATTCATGTTAATTATTCTGAGTTATCTATCTTATTTGACATGCATGTTTCTATATGTTGCACTTCAATTCTTTATTTATCTGTTACTAACTTCTATTGCAAGCGTTTCCCTTCTGTTTTGCAGGCCATGGCACGGGTAAAGACAGTTGCCCGCCAGTAGTATGAGCGGAGAGTCAGGCCTAAGCTAGAGGAGCGGGCAGGACCTTCTCATGTTCAGGACCCAGAGCTAGAGCCAGAGCCAGCTCCAGCTCAGTCCTCATCCGCCAACGCCAGACTACAGTCTTCGGCTTCTGCATCATCTTCTTCAGCTGAGGCTGAGCATGTACCGTCCCCTTTTCCACCACCGGCACAGCATGGCCAGGACCGCGATAGACCTATGCGGATATACTTACGCCTTCAGGTGGCGTATGAGTTAGTGTTTCACATTCCTTTCTTTTCCCGGTATATCCTGACCCGGGTAGCTTATGATGACATTGACCGGAGGGGAATCTCAGCTATTTTAGCCCCTGTGACCTATCCCATTTGCCTGCGGCTTGTTCGGTTGTTCTTCTAGAAAAAAATTTCCATTTTTGCTTTCATTCTTTTTCAAATCTCAGCTGCTAGGTGCATCATCCTTCAATAGATAATACTATATATGTAACAACAAAATATAAACTGTCTCCAATTAAAGTAAAAAAAAAAAAAAAAAAAATCAATATCCAATTGATAAGTCTCTAATCATAATTAATCAAATAATTATGACAATTAAAAATCACTAAATAAATATAATTCTTAAAAATTCGGGTTAATTATGATTGGGAAAAGGTGTTTATGGTATCATTCATAATTTTATGGTATCAGAGCCATCGGGTGGTGATTAAGCCCATTTAACCCATTTACATTTCTGTTTCCGGACCTGGATCCCGTTTAGGCTAGGTGTGCCGCTTCGGGTTGGTCGGACGGACGGTCATTTAGGTAAGGTTTAATGAGTTTTTTCAACCGTAGCATGTCTTCGACATCGTCAGCTCCTCTTGGAGGAAGAGTGATAGTTAACCAAGAAGAACAGCATATTGATAGTGGTCAGAATGATCAGTGGGATACTTAGAATATACCCAAGGTTCCCATTAGGGATATTTACAAATCTTTGACTTTCAATCTCAAAATAGGATACTCCATCAAAACTGTTGAACAAACTATTTCTCTCAAAAACCCTTTTGAAGTCATCCAACTTTTGCAAAAAAGAGCCATAGTAGAACATAAAAAGAAGTACAAATTCCTACATATAAGGCTTGTCCAAGTTGCAGCTAAACCCCTTACCTCAAGGGGACTTAACACTGCTATCATGCTTACTCTAAGGGATTGTAGGCATCTTGATTTTGAAACCTCTTTGTTAGGAGTTTGCCAAACTAGTCTTTTTGATGGCCCACAATACTTCAATTGTTTTCCAAATTATTCAGTAGCTCTTGATGATCCAACAATCCTCCATACTTTAAACCTCAATGTTTCAAGTAGTGGTTACAAAATGATGGATGGAGCCATACCCTTCAATGTTGTCTATAGAATCCACTACAAAGTCTATACAACCCAAGTCAGCCCTGATGCTCTTCGTGAGTCTCCCAAAGGAGAAACCCTTCTTCTTCATGCTAGTGACGAAAATTCACAAACTTATGTTCCGAGAACCATCACTTGGAATGAAGTCACCTTCCCGACAGAGTGGACTCTCTAGCATGCAGCTCCTCCTTCAAAGATCGAGTATAAAAGGTTGGAACAAATATCTTAATTTTCTGATGGCACGGTAAAGGTTAGATTTAATTCCAATAGGCCCAATAGACTTACTATCCAAGAAATAGAAAGATCTAGACCTTCTATCGAAGAAATAGAAAGTTCTAGATCCTCTTTTTCTCATGCTACTTCCTCAAACTATTCAAAAGCACCTTCCCGAAAATCATTTTCAGGAATGCCTATAAGGTATCCAAACCTCGTTGGTGTCAAAAACAAAGAAGTTGCTAACCCAGTTTACCAGGACAATGTTAGCATACAGACTGAGGAAGAAGACATCCATCCTCTTCGCAACACTCCTTTACCTACACAAATTAGTTCTCAAAACAAAGGTCTGCAAAACCCCTCCCCTAAACGAAGATCATCATGATTCTCTTCCATCCCCAAATGATTCTTAATTTGAAGATCCCGATCATCAGGTTCATCAGCTCTACATGATAGAAAAGGTTTATGAGATCGATAAAGACTTCTTACACAAAGATTTCTACTCTGCGATCAATGATTCCAAAAGACAATGGTATTTCCAAACCTTTTCAGTTCAAAAAACCATCCTTATTAGAGAAAAGTGGTATGCTTTTTGCATACAACACAAGTTCTCAGCCCCTTTCTTCACATGGTTTGAAAAATATTGTCTCGACAACAATATTGATTTTCCTTTCTCCACAATCAAATCCTTAAATGTCACAACCAAATCCACCATTACTTGGCAAACATCACGTGGTGAGGCTCTTGAAGCCATCCATCCCCTAGCCGAGGCAATCGAATTCAAGACAAAGGCGTCAGGAACAGTCACACTTACTGCTTCTCCTTTCAAGACAAAGGCAGTCGCCAATGACAATACCACATCCACGACCCGTGATGTCCGAAGCATCATGAAACAAAATAACTACACAAACCAACACCTCCAGACACTTGGCGATCAGCTTTCTCGTGTGGAAACCTTGCTTGAGAAAGAACAAATTATCCCCATTCAATCTGATAATGCTCCCTCTTTCATACCCCATGAAATCCCCTTACACTTGTCTAAACAACTATCAAAACGTAGTGCCATTGAAGAAGCACAGGACAGGATTAAACGTATTGAATCCCTTATGACCTCCACAACTACGATTCCTGATACGCCTGAAAGACCTCTTAGAGCCATCAATACTCTTGACCAAGAAATTGGTACTGATACTGAAATTAAGGAAATTACTGAGGTCTTCCAGAACCAACACATCAATACTTTAGAGCCAACTTCTTCTCGAAATTATTATCCCAGGCCAACTTTCCCTGACCTCCAGATCGAAGAACGAGGCCAGTTTTCCCAAGCTGCTTATCATGGTGGTACCATTTATGAATGGAACATAGATGGCAAAACTGAGTATCACATTCTCAATACACTTCAAGAAATAACAATGGTCAGCACTGCTTACAAAACCAAGAATGACTCTTCTGATCATGCTATAGCACAACTCCTTGTAGGAGGATTCACAGGCCAACTCAAAGGATGGTGGGACAACATCCTCACTCCAGATAAACGACAAGCCATTCTTAACTCTGTAAAAACAACTCCTGAAGGAACAATTATCAAAACAGAAGGAGGTGCAGATATAGAAGATGTAGTTGCTACTCTCATTTTCTCTATCACTAAACAGTTCCTCGGTGACCATTCAATTGTTAGAGACAAGACCTCAGAAATTCTAGCCAACCTTCGATGTCGCAAATTTCAGGATTTCAGATGGTACAAGGATGTCTTCCTCTCAAAGGTCCTCACCAGGACTGATTGTAACCAAGCCTTTTGTAAAGAAAAGTTTATTGTGGACTCCCCAATCTTTTTACTAAGAGAATTCGCAAGCATTTCAGATCAAAACACAATGGCCATATTCCTTATGACTCCCTCACCTATGGTGACATCATTAGTACCATCACAGCTGAAGGAATTGCTTTTTGCACCGATTTCAAACTCCAACAGCAAATTAAGCATGAGAATGCCACTAGCCGAAAAGAATTAGGAACTTTCTGCCAACAATTCGGCTTCAAAAACCTAACCCCTCCTTTCAAACGAAAAAGTCACACCCGCTACCGCAAGCCTTTTCCCAAGAGATACGAAAACAGGTCACGGTATAACAAGAGCAAACCCTCATTTGCAGATAAATATCTCTCCTCTGAGAAAAATAGATAGAAAAATGCCCTTCCTCCAAAGCATTTTCAAAAGAAACCTGCCACCTCAAAAACAGATATAAAATGCTTCAACTGTGGCAAGATGGGTCACTACAAACGCAATTGTAGAGCCAAACAGAAGATCAATGAGCTCGATCTCCCTGAAACCGTCAGGAGCCAACTGATGCAAATTCTTTTAAACTCTTCAGATGAAGAATCCGAACATGATATCAATGGTATTCAAGAAGATGACTATCATGCTGACACAGATTATGATTCTGATTCTTCCAACCCATCTTTGGATGACCAACCTATCAAAACCAAATGCATCTGTATGATTACTAAGGACCAAGAATTCATGTTGGAACTCATTGACAAAATAGAAGATCTTGATCAACGCAAGGAATGCTTAATTAAATTCACTAACAGCATTGGCCAAAGAAATGACAAAGCTCCCGTTATTATACCAAATACTTACAACCTTACTGATATCTTTGAAAGATTTAGTACACAACCCTAGATGCCAATTACGATTCAATATCTCCATAAAGAAATCAAACAAACCAAGCAAGAGATTTCACTCCTAAAGCAAGAGGGCAAGGCTTTGAAAGATTCCACTGCTCATGATATTCTTACCCTCAGAAGCCAAATCCTTTTTCAACAATCCCAGATAGATACCTTACTACCTAAGTCCTCTGCAAAACTTGAACAACAAGTTTATGAAAATCCCACCAAGGACAATGAGACTTACATCAACCTTCTGACCCAGATAACATTTCAGAAATGGCATGTTAATCTAAAAATTGTCATCAACAAAGACTATACCATTCATACAGTGGCTCTCATTTACTCCAGTGCTGATCTCAATTGTATCAATGAAGGACTTGTCCCTACGAAATACTTTGAGAAAACCAAAGAACGGCTTCAAGGTGCTAATGGTTCACGACTCACTGTTCAGTACAAGTTAACCAAAGCCCATGTTTGTAATCAAGGTCTTTGTATTAAAACACCTTTCATCCTTGTCAAAGATCTCAATACCCCTGTTATTTTGGGAACTCCATTTATTTCTCTTCTTTACCCATTCAAAGTTGATAGCCAAGGCATTTCAACAAGTCTAGTTGGACAAGAAATTTGCTTTCTTTTTGCTCATCCTATAGACACCAATGATCTTAATACCATTAAGGATTCCTGTGTTACTCAAGTCCCTGCTGTCAACAGGATTGAAAGCAAAACAAAGCATTTAAACTTTCTCAAACAAGAACTAATCTTCAAACAGATTGAAGAACGACTCAGTCAAAAAAGTCTCCAAGACTCTATTCAAAGGTTCAGATTAAGACTTGAAAGTCAGGTTTGCTCTGATCTCCAAAACGCTTTTTGGCACAGAAGACAACACATTGTTGAATTACCTTATCAAAAATCTTTCAATAAAAAGGATATCCCTACCAAAGCCCGTCCTAGCCAAATGAGTCAAGAACTTCTTAATTACTGTATGAAGGAAGTACAGGAATTATTAAACAAATCCCTCATCCAAAAAAGCCGTTCCCCATGGAGCTGTGCCGTTTTCTATGTCCAAAAGAATGCTGAAATAGAAAGAGGTGTTCTCAGATTAGTTATCAATTACAAGCCCCTCAATGAAGTTCTTCAATGGATCAGGTATCCCTTGCCCAATAAAAAGCACCTAATCCAACGTCTCGTTCATGCAACCGTTTTTTCAAAGTTTGATCTCAAGTCAGGATTTTGGCAAATCCAAATTGCTGAAAAAGATAGATACAAAACAGCTTTCACGGTTCCTTTTGGCCATTACGAATGGAATGTGATGCCTTTCGGATTAAAAAATGCCCCTTCAAAATTCCAAAAAATTATGAATGATATTTTTATTCATCTTACGAATTTTTCAATTGTTTATATTGATGATATACTAATATTTTCTTCTTCTATAGATGCTCATTGGAAACATCTCAATGTTTTTTCTCAAACCATCAAGCATAATGGATTAGTCCTTTCTTTATCAAAGTTAACTTTGTTTCAGACCAAGATTAGGTTCTTAGGTTTCCAGATCCACCAAGGAACTGTCGTCCCAATCAACATATCCATCCAATTTGCTGATAAATTCCCTAATGAAATTAAAGACAAAACCCAGCTTCAAAGATTTTTAGGGTGCCTAAATTATCTCTCTGAGTTTTTAAAGATGCATATGCACAATCATCCTCTTCTCAGAACCCTTCCAAAAAAACCTGGTATGATAAAGTCGAGGAAGATGAAGAAGCTATGTGTGCTAGTCCATCTCCATTAATTACAAACCAGTTTTCAGCCCTAACCACAATTCCCTAACATGTCATAGACATGTCCCCAATCCAGTATGACCCCATCCAATCATACTTACAATCCCAACAACCAGTTTTTCCTCCCCTTCAAAAAACTTATGCTGCAATTTCTTCAGCATCAGATAAAAAATTTCCTCAAGATCTGTTTCACAGCAAGTGGTGGTCAACAATCCCACTAAAAAAAAAATCTCGTTATTTTCAGAAACCAAATTCATCAACCATTTGTGTGGTAGAAAAAGAACTTTTTAACCAAAACCCAGTTTTACTTTCTCAAAACCATTTTGTCAAAGGTTTTCATTATCCAACATCAGATTTTCGGAAAACACAAAATTTTTATGAGTTTCTTTTAGTGGACACTAATTCCATCAAAATTCGAACTCATTCAAAACCAGGTGATGAGTCTTTCATTTCTCACACCACATATACCATTCAAAAAGTCCTTACTCTGGCAGCTTGGGGTAAAAACATCAATGCTCCGAGGCAATTTTCTCAACCTCGCAACCCTCAAACTTTCAATTACTGGGACTATCAGGATGCCTGGTACAATACCTTTTATTTCCAAAATCAGGATTATAGCCATTCCTGGCTTATCCTTTTCCAAAAGAATTTCAATCTAAATGTCCCCAGATGGTTCATTGACTAGTGGCAGATGTTTGGTCCCTGCCAAGAAATCATCCCTGAAACGGTGTCCAAGGGATTTTCAATTTTCAATGAAAAATTCCAAGCTCTTCCTGAGTTTTCTGAATTTCCCAAATCATTCTTATTTTTGCAAATTTTGCATTGTCATGGATAGTTCTATGGCAATTCCAAATCCTCAAAACCCCTTCTAATCTTCCTCTTCTAGGAAGGATTTTCAAAGTCAAATGGTGGGACCAATTCTCTATCAAAGATGTTACTCCAGAAGCAAATTCTGAATGGTTCTCAAAGCACCCTGCAATATTATATTCTAGCTTAGGAGAGTCTTCGGCTTTCCTCCTATCCAAAAGCCAGGCCCAAGCAAAGCTTTCTTTAGCAAAATAACAAGATGAGTATGAAGCCTTCCTCATGGAAGCTTTAGCCCAAGTCAATCCCATAGCCTTCTCAAAATTGGGCTCCAACAGAAGTGAAGGCTCAGGTTCTTTCCATGGTTGCCAAACAGATCTGGCCCAACCCAATTAAGATGACTATTTTGTTATTTTTACCCAACAGCTCCAGTAAACAATATTTTCAAAAATCATCATTTCATTTCAAAAAAGCTTCTAACCTCGGTCATTCAATGCCACTGCATAGCGACAAAAAAAAAAAAAAGAAAAAGAAAGGCAAAATCTACAGTTTAAAATTTTATTCAACAGTTCTCCATTTTCAGGCTTTTAACACCTTTCAGTGTTCATGACAGACAAGCTTTTCAAAAAAGGAGTCCAAGGCAAGTTAGTGGCCATCACCTCAATTCAGCCTTTTAGGCTTTGCACATGGCCCCCAGCATCATTCAGAATACATCACCTCAAATCAGCCTTTCAGGCTTTGCACATGACCTCCTGCTGCATCCTTATCTCCAAGGAATCCAAAGCTCCCCAAGGCTCCTTCGAGGCCCTATAAATAACAGCTCCTCAAGACATTGGAGGCAGGCTCATTTTTCAAGTTTAGATTTTAGTTTCCGTTTCAAAAGTTCTCAGTTCAAATTGTAATCTTTAAGTTTAAGTTTTTAGTTTTACTTCATCCAAAGAGCTCGGCTCAGAACAAAAGTGTTGTATTCAAAGATCAAAGTTGTAAGTTCCATATTTTAATCAAAAGTTCTTCAAAGTTATTTATGTTCTGTTGTTTAATGTTAACTTGCATATTTCCATATTTTATTTCATTATTTCGTTGATTATTTAACCTTTTCAATATTCTGTTTCTCTCATAGTTCATTATCAGTTATTTATCCTAGGTGCTTATGGTATCAGAGCAAGGAATGGTGATAAATATGAATGAAATTTTTATTCATCTTACAAATTTTTCAATTGTTTATATTGATGATATACTAATATTTTCTTCTTCTATAGATGCTCTTTGGGAACATCTCAATGTTTTTGCTCAAACCATCAAGCATAATGGATTAGTCATTTCTTTATCAAAGTTAACTTTGTTTCAGACCAAGATTAGGTTCTTAGGTTTCCAGATCCACCAAGGAACTGTCGTCCCAATCAACAGATCCATCCAATTTGCTGATAAATTCCCTGATGAAATTAAAGACAAAACTCAGCTTCAAATATTTTTAGGGTGCCTAAATTATCTCTCTGAGTTTTTCAAGGATCTTTCCCTTCTTTGTGCTCCACTACGCCAAAGATTAAAAAAGTCCCCTCCCCCATGGTCCGATGAGCATACAAAAACAGTCAGAATCCTTAAAAGCAAAGCAAAAAACCTTCGTTGCCTATCTATTGCTGATCCAGAAGCCTTCAAAATTGAGGAAACTGATGCATCAGAATTAGGATATGGATCCTAAAACAAAAAACAGGTGACAAGGAACAACTAGTTCAGTTCGCCTCTGGCACATGGAACCAAGCACAACAAAAATACTCTACAGTCAAAAAGGAAATTTTATCTATAGTTTTATGCATTTCAAAATTTCAAAGTGAATTACTAAATCAAAATTTTTTAATTCGTGTTGATTGCCAATCTGCAAAAACTGTTTTACAGAAAGATGTTCATAACATAGCCTCAAAACAAATTTTCGCCAGATGGCAAGCTATTCTTTCTGTATTTGACTTTGATATTGAATATATAAAAGGAGAAAACAATTCTCTTCCTGATTTTCTCACCAGGGAATTGTTGCAGGGAAAAACAAGAGCTTAAAGGCGGTTACTATGCCTCCCAAGACAGGTAGAGGAGCCTCAGTTGCAAGCACAAAACCCCACAAAAACAAAAGATGCATATGCACAATCATCCTCTTCTCAGAACCCTTCCAAAAAAACCTGGTATGATAAAGTCGAGGAAGATGAAGAAGCTATGTGTGCTAGTCCATCTCCATTAATTACAAACCAGTTTTCAGCCCTAACCACAATTCCCCAACATGTCATAGACATGTCCCCAATCCAGTATGACCCCATCCAAGCATACTTACAATCCCAACAACCAGTTTTTCCTTCCCTTCAAAAAACTTATGCTGCAATTTCTTCAGCATCAGATAAACAAATTTCCTCAAGATCTGTTTCACAGCAAGTGGTGGTCAACAATCCCACTAAAAAAAAATCTCGTTATTTTCAAAAACCAAATTCATTAACCATTTGTGTGGTTGAAAAAGAACTTTTTAACCAAAACCCAGTTTTACTTTCTCAAAATCATTTTGTCAAAGGTTTTCATTATCCAACATCAGATTTTCGGAAAACACAAAATTTTTATGAGTTTATTTTAGTGGACACTGATTCCATCAAAATTCGAACTCATTCAAAACCAGGTGATAAGTCTTTCATTTCTCACACCACATGTACCATTCAAAAAGTCCTTACTCTGGCAGCCTGGGGTAAAAACATCAATGCTCCGAGGCAATTTTCTCAGCCTCGCAACCCTCAAACTTTCAATTACTGAGACTATCAGGATGCCTGGTACAATACCTTTTATTTCCAAAATCAGGATTATTACCATTCCTGGCTTATCCTTTTCCAAAAGAATTTCAATCAAAATGTCCCCAGATGGTTCATTGACTAGTGGCAGATGTTTGGTCCCTGCAAAGAAATCATCCCTGAAACGATGTCCAAGGGATTTTCAATTTTCAATGAAAATTTCCAAGCTCCTCCTGAGCTTTCCGAATTTCCCAAATCATTCTTATTTTTTGCAAATTTCGCATTGTCATGGATAGTTCTATGGCAATTCCAAATCCTCAAAACCCCTTCTAATCTTCCTCTTCTATGAAGGAATTTCAAAGTCAAATGGTGGGACCAATTCTCTACTAAAGATGTTACTCCAGAAGCAATTTCTGAATGGTTCTCAAAGCACCCTGCAATATCATGATCTGGCTTAGGAGAGTCTTCGGCTTTCCTCCTATTCAAAAGCCAGGCCCAAGCAAAGCTTTCTTCAGCAAAATCCCAAGATGAGTATGAAGCCTTGCTTTAGCCCAAGTCAATCCCATAGCCTTCTCAAAATTGGGCTCCTACAGAAGTGAAGGCTCAGGTTCTTTCCATGGTTCCCAAATAGATCTGGCCTAACCCAATGAAGATGACTGTTTTGGTATTTTTACCCAACAGCTCCAGTAAACAATATTCTCAAAAATCATCATTTCATTTCAAAAAAGCTTCTGACCTCGGTCATTCAATGCCGCTGCATAGCGATAAAAAAAAAAAGAAAAAAGAAAAAAAAAAAAGAAAAAGCAAAATCTACAGTTTAAAATTTTATTTAACAGTTCTCCATTTTCAGGCTTTTAGCACCTTTCGGTGTTCATGACAGACAAGCTTTTAAAAAAAGGAATCCAAGGCAAATCAGTGGCCATTACCTCAATTTAGCCTTTCAGGCTTTGCACATGGCCTCCAGCATCATTCAGAAGACATCACCTCAAATCAGCCTTTCAGGCTTTGTACATGACCTCCTGCTGCATCCTTATCTCCAAGGAATCCAAAGCTCCCCAAGGCTCCTTCGAGGCCCTATAAATAACAGCTCCTCAAGACATTGGAGGCAGGCTCATTTTTCAAGTTTAGATTTTAGTTTCCGTTTCAAAAGTTCTCAGTTCAAATTGTAATCTTTAAGTTTAAGTTTTTAGTTTTACTTCATCCAAGGAGCTCGGCTCAGAACAAAAGTGTTATATTCAAAGATCAAAGTTGTAAGTTGCATATTTTAATCAAAAGTTCTTCAAAGTTATTCATGTTCTGTTGTTTAATGTTAACTTGCATATTCCATATTTTATTTCATTATTTCGTTGATTATTTAACCTTTTCAATATTCTGTTTCTCTCATAGTTCATTATCAGTTATTTATCCTGGGTGCTTATGGTATCAGAGCAAGGAATGGTGATAAATATGAATGATATTTTTATTCATCTTATGAATTTTTCAATTGTTTATATTGATGATATACTAATATTTTCTTCTTCTATAGATGCTCTTTGGAAACATCTCAATTTTTTGCTCAAACCATCAAGCATAATGGATTAGTCCTTTCTTTATCAAAGTTAACTTTGTTTCAGACCATGATTAGGTTCTTAGGTTTCCAGATCCACCAAGGAACTGTCGTCCCAATCAACAAATCCATCCAATTTGCTGATAAATTCCCTGATGAAATTAAAGACAAAACCCAGCTTTAAAGATTTTTAGGGTGCCTAAATTATCTCTCTGAGTTTTTCAAGGATCTTTCCCTTTTTTGTGCTCCACTACGCCAAAGATTAAAAAAGTCCCCTCCCCCATGGTCCGATGAGCATACAAAAACAGTCAGAATCCTTAAAGGCAAAGCAAAAAACCTTCATTGCCTATCTATTGCTGATCCGCCTTCAAAATTGAGGAAACTGATGCATCTGAATTAGGATATGGATCCTAAAACAAAAAACAGGTGACAAGGAACAACTAGTTCAGTTCGCCTCTGGCACGTGGAACCAAACACAACAAAATTACTCTACAGTCAAAAAGGAAATTTTATCTATAGTTTTATGCATTTCAAAATTTCAAAGTGACTTACTAAATCAAAAAATTTTAGTTCGTGTTGATTGCCAATCTGCAAAAACTGTTTTACAGAAAGATGTTCATAACATAGCTTGACAACAAATATTGAAGAAAAATTTACAAAGATACAAGAAATTGGGAATTAAAAACCCCTACCATCAAAAATGAAAAAAATCCCCCAAATGAGTTCAAAATTTCGAAATCCCTAGAGTGCACCAAATGATGAATTGCTTGTATCCATGAGAAGATCTCAACAAGCTTTTCGATTTGCTGCAAATGGCACCCAAAAATTTCAAAGGATGAAAGAGTAATTGTAGTTTGAAAATTGTGAAAAAGAAAAAGAAAAAGAGAAGGGAAAAAAAGAGATACTGTTGGGGAGATAGAGAAAGAAATGGAGGCCAAAAAGAATAGCCTCTTGGCCATAAAAGTGTTAATGGAAAGTGGGTCCCACCATTTTAAATTGTCCATCACAATATATATATATATATATTAAAGTCATAAACATTACACTTTTTTATATGCAAAAGAACTAAAAGATGAGAACATGCCACCCAATTCAATTTGGTAAAGCTCTATTTTCCATCACTTCTATACTTGAAGTTAGCAAGCCATGTTTGTTGCAATTTTTTTTTGCCTCCATAGCTCTTTTCCATCCCTGTTTTATTTGCAATTTTTGGCTTCTATAGCTTTTTTCGATCCTATTTTCTACAGATTTTCGCTTACAAATAGGGCGGAACCAGTGTATGTCTAGAGGGGCACATACCCTCCTATTCTGACCCCACCCACTATATTATATGTGATTATTTTTAAATTTTCTTTATAAAAATTTGTATATAACGCCCCTTAAAATTATTTTAGTTTCTAAAATTTTCTTTAATTTTTTCTTATTTTCCTATTTCTCTCTTTAGATTCCTATTTCTCTCCTTAGATTCCTAGGAATCTAAGGAGAGAAATAGGAAAATAAGAAAAAAATAATTGTTCTTCTTCTTTTCTTCTTCTTTATCGTATTTTATTTTTTTTGCAATGTGCCTCCTTGAATTGAAATTTTGACTCTGCCACCGCTTACAGAGCTATTTTTTATCTGAATTAAGTTCATAAGCTTTGTTTTTTGGCTCATGGGAGCCCATGCATACACAGTTGGAATGTAATAAAGAGTATCGATTCTATGCCCTTCAAGTACCGAAACATCTTGAGAATTATGATACATCTCATTCAAACTTATTAAATAAATGTCCAATATATGAAGTATTTAATCCTCCAATTATAAATTTTATTCATTAAAATAAATTTAAAATCAGAAAAGGATATTGGCTTTTAGAGCATAAAATGCCAACATCCTTAGTTACAACATCACTTCTTGAAAAGAAAATAAAAAATAAAAATAAAGGAAGAAAGGAAGAATTGAAATTATATGGTTTGCTATTGCATCAACATAATTACCGAAGTCAGAAAATAGCATGTCATTGTTCTATATATTCATGATCATCTTTTCTTGAAAAGGGCCATTGATGAAAGGATAGATGAAACTCCCGAGATTAAGAAGGCAATCAGAAGGAATCCTGTAGAGATATTGGCCATGTTAAAGAAATTATCAGCCTTTGATCGAAATTGGGAAAAATCTGTAACGCCGTAATCTTGGAAGTCATCCTCCAAGTCATCCATACGTTTCTTGAGATCCAATGTTGCACCAAATGCTGCACCAACCCCTGTTGCTAATAGGGATAAGAGAACCTGCCCAATCAATGAAATTTATCAAGCTCATTATTATTATACAATAGTTCTGATCCCCGTTATTCAAAGTTGTCACGCAATGTGTCAAGTGTGTATTTAATGTTTTTGTATTTAAGATATTCTTTTTTTTTTCTTTTTTCTTTTTTTTTTTGGTGTCTTGTATTGTAACTCTAATATTAATAGCGATCAATTCTGTAAGTAGTAATAGATGCAAAGAAAGGGCTATAGACTTCTCTAAAGAGTATGAAAAAAAAAAAAAAAAAATTGATATATATATATATAGGTGCAAATAAAGCTGACTAACCTTGTCACCATAGAAATCAAAATGGAGAAAGCCACCATGTTTCACTAGGCGCTTCCCCATGCTTACATGGTAAATTGCAAAAGGTATCTGCAAGAGGGTATAGGCCATTCCTATGACTATGGTTGACAACATATACCTGCAGCCATTAATAGATTAAAACCATAATATTAGCTACACATATATATATATATAGAGAGAGAGAGGGAGAGAGAGAGAGAGAGAAATTGCATGTTTTACCGGTAGGCATAAAAATCCTTGAAGTGAATGGTGAATTTGATGAGATCAACCCTAGCAGTGGCAGAGTCTGACGCTATGACGATGAGTGATAATAAAAGAGCAGTCAAAGTGACGCTTCTCATCACTAGTGTGGCTATTGGCAATGTCTTGGAGGCTCTAGGCTGAACCGGAGGCAGAGGGGAAGGCTGAGGTAGAGGTGGAGGTGGACGCTGAGGCTCAGGTGGAGATTCAGGCTGAGACTCGGACTCAGACATTCTCTTAAATTTTGTTATCTTGCTTACTATTTTTTTCCTAACCTTTATAGCTCACACTTTTTGTCATTTTCTTCCCTGGCCAGATGTACAAAGCTTGAATAAAATATTTGCTCTGTATAATCATAGTTTGTGTTTACAAGATGGATTTTGGTTTCACATGATGTAAACATAGATGGAACATTGGCCAGACAAGAACTATATTGAAACACTAGATAAATTGAACACAACCAAATCATTTTAATTAATAAAAACTTCTCTTTTTAAACGATAAATCTCAAACTTTTTATTTTCTTTTTGTTGATTTTCCAGTTGTATGACATATAAGCTTTTGATAACTTTTCTCTCGCCTCTCACTAACCCCTTCAGCCTAACCCCTTCAGCCGTCACCCTCTGCCCTTCGTTTTCTACCTTCTCTTCCTTCTACTTCCTCCCCACTCTCTTTCATGGGAGTGGGGAGGAGCCGATTGTTGCCACCCACTATATAATAAACTCAACATATTGTAAGTAGTTGATCGGTGGGTGGTTTCACGCCGTTTTGCTATTGTTTGTTCAGATCTACTCCTGCTTAATTGGCTTATTTTCTGGCTCGACGGAGTGGATTTGTTATTTTGTCTCCGGTTAAATATCTGTTCTATGTCAGATTTTGTTATTCCCGCCTTCTTGTGCGAGGTTAGGTGGTTTTTCCTCCAGTCGGCGGTGCCTTGTGAATGTAGCCTTGGAGGTGTTACCTTGATGACGGCCTGATCTTTGGATCACTTCCGCTTGCTGCTTTCCTCTCTTTGGTGGTTTCCGCTGTTGTATGCTGATTTGTTTCTTAACAAATCTGGAGCTGGTTCTTTCGTATTTTTTTCTTTTGTTGCTTCATGATTTGTTTGTCGTATAATCATTTTTGACAACTTTTGTTGATACCGTATAATTGCTTTTCTTGTCAGGATAAAATATAATAATAAAAAATTAAAGAAAAAAACACATAAGCTTGATGACTCCGCATTGGAACTCAATCATTGTACAACTCTTAGAAAACCCTCCTCGTCTTTGCTAAACAAGATCAGAAACACCTCTTTTGCATCGATATAGAGCCGTCATTATAATGAGGACAAATTTGTTTTAGTGGTACGAAGCTTCTCGTGGGTTTCAGTGATGGATCGATACATGCCATTGCATACAAAATCACTAATAGAAGTTTAAAATTTTTAATTTAAATACTGGTTAATTTGTTAGAGCTACTTGTTGTGTTGGGAAAAAAAGAATTTTGGACTTTTATTAGTGATAATAGCTGCATAAATCTATCTAAAAATGAATTTTTGTATAAAAATACAATCTACATGTAAAAATAAATATTATACTTAAATTGTAAAATATAGGTGTCGGTTTGATAACTCAATTCACTACTTTTTGAAATAATGAAATAAAATGTGGATATCAATTAAAAGAATAAGTAATTCCTAAAATTAGGTAAGTAAGAGACTTCAAACATCACTGAATATGAAACACTTAAAATTCAAAAATAATATCCAATAGATCCTAAATTTATAACCGAACAATACTTGAAATTTTCTGTTTTTCAAACATTTTAGTAAAAATAATCAACAATAATGAATATTTTGTTGTGACACAAACAAAACTGAATTGTATTGAAAATGGCGTGTGTAAAACCTATACATCTCTTATTATCAGAAATTAACATGGAATTGACCTTTTGGACTTGTAATTGAGATCCAAATTAATTCAAATTTTAAACTACTTTTTTTCTAATTTATGCTGTCAAAAATAAATTAATATAATCGGTTGACGTCTCCTCTTATGTGACTTTAAATATCAAGGATTACAGCAAAAACAGAAGTAATCATGCTGATTGATATGTCAGATTTTTAATTCATGCCAGCTACAAACCTTCAAATGGGTACATTTTTATTTAACATCAGCTTGGCAATTTTGTTCTTGGATTTGTACATAGATACAAAAGAAGAGACAAATTAGCGGACTCATAATTTCTACTTTGCAGTACATACTTCTTAAATATCAACAAAGGTAAAATGTAAGAAAATAATAATGTATTGACTAGAAGAGTTGAAATGTACTCTGATTAATTGTGCTCAAGGGAGACTTTTCAAATTAGGAGTCATACAACCTGTCCATGGAAGCTCTTTAGCATGTGACATATAAATATATAATGTTGGCAATTTCATAATCAAAATTTGATGATTGAGTTTTACTTTTTGTTTATTTTGAGTCTCGATTTTTTGGAGTTAAAGTGCAAGTGCCTCTTATCGTTAAATTCATTAAGAACATTATTTAGAATAGGTAAGTGAGTTAGGAACACTCGTGAGTATCTCTAAAGTTGGGTATGATAGCTTAGGTTGGAAATAGCATTCAACAAAGTCCAACTAGTTGCACTTCCTGCACCAAATTAGCTCTCGGGATAAGTAGAGCCAGCTAAATTTTCAAGTAGAATGGTTGACTTTGAAGTAGAACTGATTGCATTTCCCTGAAGGTACGAAAAATCAAATTTTGGTAACTTTTTTTGTTTTTACCCAATCTTGTAGGACAGTCCTTGCCTGATTTTATAAGATATTTTTGTCTATCATAAGGACTCTCTAATATATCTATAACATATTTCACAAATCATATGAGAGAGTTTTGAGAGATTGATTGCTCTAATTGGAAAAACAAGGGTTTTCATCTTTTACTTATTATTGAAACTTTTTTATAGAATTTTCAGAGAAATCTTATTATTTATTTTTTAGAGAACACACTTAAAAATACGAGAGTGTTTAGGATGATGTTCTTCTACTGATCATCACGGAATCTTCAGAATCAACATCAGATTACAAGTTGGTCATGTTGGGTTTTGTTACTTGAATTCAGTGTGTGAGAAATGGTCTGGCAGAAGTGAACAACTTAAAGTTATTTGGAACCAGTTCCAACTTTTTCTTGAACCAGTTGAACATGATAACCCTAATTGAATCAATTCAAGAGAAGACTTCTATTTTAGAGTTGAAGACTGATATGGTAACTCCTTATGGACAAATTGGGGAATACTTGTCCAACAAGGAATTTGGTTTAAAGACTCTATAAATACAGATATGTGTGAGAGATTTAGAGAAAAGAGAAAAGATGTAAGGGGTTTAATGGTAAATTTTGTGAGGAAAGGTGGGAGTCTATGTAATTCTCGAGTATATAGACGTAACCTCAAAAGAGATGATGAATGGGTGAGTGAGGTTTTGAAATCTTGTTGTATATTCTCTTCCTTGATTCATACTAATGGAAATCTCTCTTTCCATGGACGTAGCCCTAGACTTAGGTGACCCATAAAAAATATTATGTTGTGTGTGGATATGTATGATTGCTATCTCCATATATGTGATGATGCTTCCGCTGTATATGATGAAGGAGGGATTTAACTCTTAACAAAAGTTATGGCGTTGCAGTTTTTCTCCCCTTCCCTTTTCCCCTCAAGGCTAGGAGAGGAATCCACTCGCAAGCTTTGGTCCCTCAAGGGTCAGTTCGTCGTTATGTACTGGCATTTATGTGCAATGAAGTTGTGATTTGGAACTTATTCTTTATAAGGCCAAATTCAGAGATTGTGAAAGCGTCACCACCTAACTTTGAGTTCTGGTGTGTCCGGTTACCAATGGTTTGAAAGAATTTGGTTTGAATTTTGGGGCCATGGATGACTCGTGGTCTACTCTACCAAAGGTTGGATTCGAGGGTTTCTTTACGCTTGGGGAAGGTATTAGCACCCCAAGATGCCCGTACTAAGTATAGTTACCTATACTCTGTGCTAAATTCCATTTCCATTCATATGATTATATGACGGTAAAAAAGAAGGTACATGCATGCATTTTCAGTCATTTGGTGGTGGATGGTTGTAACGACCCGACCCGAGAGTCCGAATCGCTATCCAGGTCCTTACTCGAACCCGAGGTTCACTAAGGGCAAAATAGTCAGTATGCACCTTACCAAGAATTAGGAGTCATAATTAAGTCATACTAGTCATTTATAACCACATTGAATCATTAAAGAATTAGTAAATCCAACTTCTGGTTCATCGTGGAACGCTAGGCTCATAAGGGGTAAAATAGTCATTTCAAGTTAAAATTATAAAATGAGATTGATGCCAATGGAAAGGTGGCTCAAAATGCATCAATATAGACTCAAGAATGGCTTAATTTGGGTTAGAAATAACCAAGTTATGATTGTTTGAAGTCTGGTTAATCCAAGCGATTTTGACAACCTCAAAATTTTCTAAGTCTGGGAAAATCCAATCGATCAGATTGAAATCCAATTAATTGGACCGAGAGAAGATTTTAGGGAGATTTCAAAATAATCTAAGTATGGAAAAATCCGATCGATCGGATTGAACCTAACAATTTTCGCAATGACCATTTTTTTATTATTCTCTCCTTTAAATCATAAATTGGTCATTTAGACCAACCCAAACCTGTCCCAAAACATTCATATACATAGATAATAAAACATTCAAACGTCATTGTTGATCAATTACATCATTAATACATCAAGTAGATTCTTATACATTGATCATGCATCAAAATAAGTTTATCGTACATCATTGAATCATTTAAGGCTCTAGAATAGCATATAAATCAAACTATGACCTTAAGAGAGAGTAATTAGATCTCAAACTCATTTTTATCTTAAAAATAGATACATTGTGAACAATTACAAAACTATCAAAATAATATAAGTTTGATTACAACAAAAGATATAATCATCAAAATGTTTTAAACGTTTAGTCGACAAAAGAAATCCTCAATGTTGTCATGTATGAGGTTGTGGGTCGTCCATGATTTCTTTCCCGTTTCCTGAAAAATATTAAGTAGAGAGTTGAGTACAATGGCTCAGTAGAGATTGCTTAAATGGCATCTCCTAAAATTAAGTAGATGAAATACATACTTAGACACATCAAGGAATAGAGTAGGAGAATGGGGGCCATGTCAGGATCACACATCATCAACAAATAACAAGTAGCCTATCGT